CATTCGCCACCATAGCCGGCGGGGCGAGCGGGGTTTGCAGCGCGCGGCAAACACTGCCTCAGTCTGACCCCAGCCCGCCCTCTCTTCCAGTTCCCGCTGGGAGCATCTCGCTCTCCAGCGAGCCGCCGCGATTTCGCAGAAGCGCGCGCCTCCCGCAGTAGAAGGTAGTGCAGGACCAGCAGGGTCTCGCACCACTATCTGGCGTTATCCACGGCGGGAGGTTCCGGCGTCCAAAACGGTGGGGCGCTGGGCCGCCGTATGGGGTGGCGTGTGTTTCACCGCGTGTCGGACCGTTGCCGTGAACGGGCGGGCTCAACTGCGGATGTTGACGAAAGAACGGCCCGTCTGCTGGGTGCTAGAAAGTTGGCTACCAATTGCTCAGCCGCCGCTCCTGCTTCTGTTGTGGGAAAACCGGATCTTCGTGTGGCGATCTGAGCGCGCTTAGCATCTTTGATGCGTCGGCGGGCTGCGCGAAGTACCGTTCTGCGAGTTGCAATGTTGCCTCTGACAAATTGCCTGTGGGCGGCCCAATCGGCCTTCTGGCTGCGCAGCTGGTTGGATTCACAAAGGGCGGTGGGGCGACTGGCTGCCCCTCCAAATCGCGCATCGCACGCGATCCGAACACGGCCGCCGCCAAGAGTATAATGGGTAGCCCACCCGCCCAAATGAAGAAAGCGCGGCGGCATGGCGTCTGAGAAAGAGTAAAACAGCAGCCTTGCCGACAGCCCCCTCTAGGCAAGCGCCTCGGCATTGCGACAACAATCTCACGCGCCAAGCGATACTTCACCAAAGTTTCACCCCCCAAGCCTGCAGGCAGTGGGCCGCCTCAGGCGGCGTAGCTGCAGGTCGCCCCAAGGACCATGGCCGCTGGCGCATTGTCGCCTAGGTGTTGGCTCGGCGGGGCGGAGTTCTCCGAAGAGATCCTCCTGCCGGGCAGAAAGGGACCGGCCGCGACGCTCAGCCGGGCTCATCCGAAAGAAGCGATGGGGCTGCGGCCGCCTCGAGTTGATTTTATGCCGACCCGAGGCGGG